TAGGAGCATTTCGACGCTTATTGTGGAAAGTTGGAATTTTAAAAGTATTAGAAATTTCAAAGTTTGACTTGAAGTGGACTTTGGTGTTATCGATATATTGGGATTCCGAGCCTTAGAATAGGTTCATATTGTAATTTATGACTTGCACATAAAGTTTGGTGTCATTCTAGGATGTTTAAGTATAATTCAAATACGTTCGGCGAAGTTTGAAAGTTGAAAAGTTGAAAGAAAGGTTTTGGCCGTCGATTCTTAAAATTTGATGTCGTTTGATGTGATTTTAGGCCTTGAGCAGGTTTACTATGTATTTTGGAACTTGTTGGTATGTTCGGACGGGGTCCCGGAGGCCCCAGGTTTGAATCAAATTGAAATCGGGATCATTTTTGGGCTTGTTGATTGTTGAAGACTGTTGAACTCCGGTGTCATCACACCCGAGGTGGGATTGGTCGTATGTGCGGACACATATGTGCGAGGGGGGTCATTGTTGATATCCAATTTTTCCCTGTATATTTTTTATATGCAAAATACTTTCAAAATAGCATATATATGCATATATAAGTATGTCCCAATGTTTTATTAATTTTCTTAATTTTAAAGATTTTTTAACCAATTTATTCCTCTGTTTTATTCATAAACAAACCAATAATAATTTCCAAAGTTATCAATCTTAGTGATTCATTTATTGGATTCTCGTATTTATACTAAAATATAGTCAAGATAATTTTTGCACATTTTTATAAATTTATTTAGTATTTTTAAAGTTAAATTGCATATAATTGCAATATTAGCCTCTTTCAGATTTAATTGCGTTTATATTTATAAAAGATTAAGTCCAGTATTTTTAAATTGATAATTATGTATTACAAATCATTTTAGTACCTTCAATTTATTTCCAGGAATTAATTTACTATTTTTTATAAAATTAAAAGGAAAAAATGGCTATTGCAATTATAGCCCAAATTGAGTTTCAATTATAACCCAAAACAGGCCCCCAATTTCCCAACCCAATTTCAATTTCAACCCGACCCCGACCCAATCTAAATAACCCAACCTGGATGCCCTACCTAACCCTTTCAATCCTAGCCGTTGATCATTTAGATCAATGGCCAATGTCGGCCCTTTCCATTTTTAACCTCAAACGACCCCTTACGCCACCTCATTTCATACCAAATGCTGCCCTTGAATCCCTTCCCCTCTCAACTCTCTCTGCAATCCCTCATGAACCCTAGCCGCCGCCACCTAACCCAACCCTAATACCTCTCAAATCTATGGTTTCCAAGCTTATCGGAGACCTGTATCAACCACCCATGGCTTCTACGTGTTCGATTCTTATGGTCTCAAGGCTAGATCTTGAAAGAGCTTGGTCCAGACCCTGTTTGATTTCAGTTCATGACTGTTCTTCGGTCAACCATGGCTATTCGAGTTAGACTCTTGACTCTCCTGCTTAGATCGATGGTTTTCAAAGCCTTTCTCATCACTTGGGTTTCTTCTGAAACCCTAACCTCTAAGGTTATTTCGATTTCTTTTAGATCTGTTTCAAGATCTATGTTTGCTCTGAACTGCTAAGCATTTTTTCTCGAAGTTTCTTTTAAAACTCTGCCCTCAAAACCCCTTATCTTTTCCGATTAGGGTTCTTGTTAGTTTATTTCAAAACTTTTTTCTGATTTTTGACATGTTCTGCTGTGTTTCCCTATATCTTTCTTCTACTTGAGTTTGCATGTTAAAAGCCCTAATTTCTTATGACTATTTATTAGACAAATGTTTGTTTGCCTGAGTTTCTGTCCGATTTGTTTGTTTATCCTCTTTTAAAAACTCTTCTATTGTTGAAAATCCTATGGTTTTGGGTCTGAGGCTGTTCGTTTAAGTGCATAACTCGATTTTGAAGTTCTTTATCTTAAAATCTCTTATTTCTCTGTGTGATTCTTCTGACTCTAGTTTTCTATCATCTCTAAAAATCGATTATGCTCGAAACCCTAATTTTCAAAAGGGGTTTTCTTCACCTGTTACTGTGAGATCTTCACATGCTTTGATATTCTATGTTTTCTTCACTACATGACCTACTGGGCTATCATGTTTTGAATGTTGCTATCCACTGAATTTTGTGGTACTATTGTATGCTATTTCCTTCTGCCAACAGGCTTGACCTCGCATGTATAGTGTTTATGCACCCTATTTATATGCTAAGTTTCCTTTTTTGTTTGACCTTCAACTTGTGACTGATTTCGAACTTTTCCTTTGTGAAATTTTGATTTCACTCGTCTGTTAGGGTTAATTGATTTTCTTTTCCTATTTTGCCTTGCTGAATTCTTTCCAAAATTAGTGTATCTCTGTACCTAGACTCGATGGCCTACTTAATGTTTTACTACTTCTTTTATGGCAACTGTCAGACTACTTATAAATTGATTTCTTTCCTTATTTTTTGAACCTGTCACTACCCGTTAAGTAAAGTGATCCCTTAATTAAAGGCAATCACTTGTATAATTGATTCTGAATCATGATTGTTTCCATGTTTGTAGCTTATTACCCTCTCTTACTCGTTTTCAAAAAACTATAAATACCATGCTCTTCTTTTTTTTTCAAAAAACACGAAAACAAGGCATAAACATTTGAGTTCAAACACATACTCCACCAAATCTCTCTTTTCTCTATTACTACTATATTGCTGCCTTACCTAGCCGGCTGAAAGCCAAGGCTAGGTTGTGGGAAAACCTGCTTATTTTATGCATTTGTATTTCTTACTGGTATGTTCTAATTAAGTTTTCTGCACCAACAACAATATGCTTATTTACCGTTTCTTGCATTCTTGTCTACCTACTGTTTGTATTTAGCCCAGTACCATTGTTTAGCATGCTGTAATTTCCTTTCTCCTTTTCTGAATCAATGTATCATGGCCTATGAATTCTAAATCCCTACCCCAATGTGTTTAATACTTGTGGTTGGTTTGGGGCATGACAGCATTAGAAATTGATGTGCATGACCCAAACTTGATCCTCTTAGGATCATAACCTCCATGTTTCTCTTATATGTTGTGTGTTCTGGTTGATTTACAGGCATGTCAGCACTTCCTATTGTTGTACATGCCCAAAGTTAACCCATGCCTAAGTGTATAAGATCCTTGCAATGGATTCCCAATCCCTTGCCCCCTTTGTGTGAAGTTATTGACTCCCTGAAATGTTAATGGCTGTCTCTCATCACCCTTTCCCTCTCCTTTATTCCCTCAGCTCTTAGAACTCTGTTTCTGCACTTTCACTCTCTTCTTAGACTTAAGTTCTGCCCCCCCTCATGTGAGCCTTGCCTTGGGACCCATGAACTCCCTCTGAACTTGGACACATGAGGGCTATCATTTCCACACTGCACTCATCTCCATTCTGGTTATGTAACTTGGGTGTGAGCACTGCCCGGGGTCTTATTGAGGCCCTTAGGGAGCTCTGACACACTCAAGTCTGAGAAAGGCTTTGGATCAATGGCATTTTGAGGTGGTTTACTCCATAACTCAGAGAGGAAGTCAAGAATCAGACTTCCTCTGGTTGTAACTTTTCTTTGTACTTTTCTGATGTGATTCAGTATTTTCGGTTTGTAATAATTTTAATGAACCTGGCTTGTGAAAAGGGTTGGGTAATTATGCATGCTCAAGGGTAGAAAACATGCCTATAGGACTGCTTTTAATTCTGCATATTCACATCACATTTAGAAACATCTATAGGACCTACTTGTTCAACTTCACATCTAGATAACCTGCCTATAGGAATTATCTAAAATTCTGCATGTTTGTCACCGTTTAGATATCATGTTTTTTAGGGCCCAATTGGCTATAACCCAGTCGCTTGTTAAAATCAGCATAATGAATAGAAATCATCCTTATAGGAATTCCCAAGCGAAAACCCGCCTGTTTCCATTGTCTACTAGATATTATGCCTATAGAGGTTTGACATTATTCAGATACTATGTACGCAAAGGTTTAAAATCGGCAATTATGACTACAAAGGTCTAAAATCAGTAATCTTAGATACCATGTTCATATGAGTAAAAATCAGCGATAGTGGATACTATCATCTGCAGAAACTGAAACTAGTCTAATTTAAAATTCGTCAATTCTGAATCTTTTTTTAATAATCTGATTCCCTTATTTTAACGAGGTTTAGCAAGCATGCCTATAGGATTTCAAACAATTCGCTTTGAGATCACTGTTTCACCACCTTCTGAATTAAGTAGATATCATGCCTATAGGACCTTGTCTAAATACTTAGGTAAGCCTTAGAGTAATGACTGTAAAATTGAGTCCGCCTTTGTTAATTGTTACAACCAGCAGGCAGGCCTGATTCAGACTTCTTATCTGAGTTATGTAATAAACAAATCTGCTTCAATAATCAAACTCCCCTCGTCTTTAGTATTTTTGAAAATAGACGCCCTCCACGTTGTACTCTTTTTCCCTCACCCGTGTTTTGTCCCAATTGGGTTTTCTCGGGGAGGTTTTTAATGAGGCGACAAAGGGGAAGTCTCGAAGTTCAAGTATAATTCATTGCCCCGCCTACCAACTACTTCTCCATGCCGAACGATGAAGGGACTGGATACATGGAAACTTCTCCAATATATGCATGAAACAAATGAAACTATGTAATATTCTATAATGAATGAAATAAAGCAGCATTTTTGACTCTCCACCAAGTCTTCTCACACTTTACATTCGACCTCGCTCGAATTATGTTGCATTTGACCTCGCTCGAATTATGTTGCATTCGACCTCGCTCGAATTACGTTATACTCGACCTCGCTCGAGTTATGTTACATTCGACCTCGCTTAAGTTATGTTACATTCGACCTCGCTCCAATTATGTTACATTCAACCTTGCTCGAATTACGTTATACTCGACCTCGCTAGAATTATGTTATATTTGACCTCGTCCAAAATCTTTGATGTTCGACCACGTCAAATGTCGATACCACCAAAAAACTAGGGGCCTCCCCACATAGCAAAAAGAAAAAAGAGAACACAAACCAAGAAATACGTAGCAAAAAGGGAGCTGTTCCATTACGACTATCAAATTACAATGCTTTTTACAAAGGGCCCAAAGACGCCCTCACAAAAATAGCAAAACAAAACAAAAAACTAAGTATGGCGGCTTTACGCCACATCATCCCCATTAGCTTACTCATCATCATACCAAGAATCAGAGGCAAGCTTATCCGCATCATCGTTAACATCATCCCTACTAGGTGTATCAGGGGCATAACCACACGCTTCATGGGCCGCACGTGCCTTAACACGGACGCCCTTGAGTTTTTCTTCGGAAATTTTCCCGTAGGATTTCAAAGACTTATACACATCAAGTTGAGCCTCAGCGTGAACCCACATCTCATACAAATCCCCCGGCATGCCGAGATTGGTAGAAGTATGAGATGTGGACGACTGTGACTGTCGTCGCACCTCCTCAGCCTTTAAGGTAACGACCTGCTCGTTAAATCCAGATAACTCTACCTCCAGGTTCTAGATCCTCTCCTCTAACCTCGCCACCGTAAGTCTCGTAGTCTCTGCCTCATTCTTCCGCTCGGACATACAGATGCGGAGGGTATCCTCTAAGGCTGCCACTTCGGCCATAGCGACCACTATGCCTTTCTCAGCACGAGCCAATTCTTCGACCTTGGCACTCAACTCACCCGTAGATCAACAGCCTTCGCCACCCTCTGCCCAAGTTCAACAGTTAAAGATGCCACCCGCGCTTGAAGATCGGCATTCTCAGCCATAACCCCTTGCTCACGCGTCATCCTTGGCCTTTAAAGCTGCCTCAAGCTCGCTGCACCGACCGATGGCTCTCATTAGCTCATCGTCCCTCTCCTTTAACTCTTCATCTTTTTTGGCCAATTGCTCGTCCTTCTTTTTAAGCCCGTCACGAAACAGCTGAAACTCGCTATCCTGGTTAAAGACCTTGGCCAACGTTTGATGCTTAGTACGGTACTCTTTATATTTAGAGGTCACCTTCTTAAAACTGTCCGTTCTCCGCTCCTCCCGCCGGTCACGCTCAATCTCCATGATAAGAGTCTGACATGCAAAAGATAGAAGTCAGTATGAGTAGATTACACATGCGAAACAAATCCTAACATTAAAAAGCACTTACTCGCAAAGCCATGCCAGATATACTCAGTGCTAATTCCGCATCGCTCATCGCCTGTAGCGCCATGTTCTTAGAAGTCGCGCACAAGGGAGCAAAGGATGGCACCTGTCACACCTCCTTTTTACCTACCCCCGGAAGGGTAGTGTAAGGGAGTTTTTTTTCAATTTAAGTGACAATCAAAACGGGATCATTTATTTATTAAATTCAGAGTTTCCACTTGGGATATTTATGGTGTCCCAAGTCACCGGTTTTAAATCCCAAATCGAGGAAAGATTGACTCTGTTTTACAGTCCGCGAACACAGAAATCCAGGTAAGGAATTCTGTTAACCCGGGAGAAGGTGTTAGGCATTCCCGGATTTCGTGGTTCTAGCACGGTCGCTCAACTATTATAATTGGCCTATTATCTGATTTTAGTACATGTTTTAGCCTATGGTGTAATTTTAAACTTTAAAACCACTTTTAATTATTTTAAGGAAGATTTCAACGCCATCTAAAACATGTCTTTGGACCGCGCCACATGAAATGCACCTGCAATCCGAAACACATTTTATTCAACGTTGTTAAGATTTGGATTTGGGTCACATGAAATGCACACCCAAGTTTAGGAAGGTAATATTATTAAAATAACGTGCCTAAAGCAACTACGCGTCTTTAACTTTGCGAGAGCCATGGGAAATTTGCTAAATGGCGCGCCTCAAATTAATTCAAAGAGTTTTATTATTCGAAGTTGTTATAATCGGGTTACATGAAATGCACACCCAAATTGGAGATTACGTATCACAACTACATCACGGGAACCGTACCCGTTGCTATGGCAATTTTATTACATTCCGAAAAAATTCGCCTACGCACGTGTGGTCAGCTCAAACATGCTACTAGTGGAACGAGAAAGTAAAGTAAAACACTTAAAATGATAAATTCAATTTTTCCATTCTTGTTGTCCACCCCCCATTCAAAATGACAAAAATTCTAACATTCTTTGCATTTGCATAATGCTACATCTTCCAGATAATTACTACAGCCACAAACATCCAAGACAAATAAACCAGATGAAAACAAAGAGGCCTAAAATCCATATTAACATGGACCAAAACCAGAAAAGCTATTTGAAATTTCCATGTCTCGCACAACTCCAAAATCCTTAGTGCCTTATTTTTGTTAAGAAAACTTAGTGATGGATTAATGGTCCAACAGTCATAAGACAAAATCTATAAATTATTTTCAATCGAAAATTCAAATAAAAATCCAAACTCAAACAAGCATAAGAGAATAGAAGACTAGAGGAATTAAAAACTTAACCATGGATACAACGATTAAAGCAAGACTAAAAATAAAACACAAAACACTCATATGGGAAATGACGGAAAGGAGGAGTTTAGAATCAGACCTTAATAATATTAACAAGAACTCAGTTACAACACACTCCAGCGAACTCAATCTGACCGAAAAATGCAGCAGTAGCAGAAGTTTGGACCGCGAACCCTGTCGGCAACCTCGAATCTGCACCGAAAAGCTCGAAACTCGACCGACAATGAAACTAAAAGGGAGAGACCGTTTATAACAAGGTTTGGTAGTTATTTGGAGCTGAGTTCAGGTTCAATTCCAGCCGGGTTTCACGGCTGATTTTGCTGCTTTTTAGGATTGTTTCACGAGAGCTTTTGGGACTACTTTGGGGTTAAGCAGCTGCATATTTCTGGGACAATTTTTAGCTAGTTTTGGAGCATGTTTGAGAACGATTTCGAGCTGAAATTTCGCTCGTGTTTCTGGACAAACTTCGGACTGTTTCACGGAGGATTCAAGCAGGTTTCATGGTTTTTGTAGCTGTGATCGACGAAGAAGAAGAAACAGTGGCGACGGGATCCTTTGATGCTAAAGAAGAAGACTTCGAGAGGGGCTCGTTTCTTGTCACAAACGGCTGAAGGGTCGATTTTTAGAATTGCGACGCTGATTTTTTTCTTGGAGTCCCTAGGTCTTAGGCTCTCATTTCTTTTTGTATTCCCTTTTGCTGATCGTCCTTCGACCTTCTTTTTGTGTGTGTATAGGTTTAGATATATATAGTTTGTTTTAGGTTAAGGGGTATGGGCCTAGGAATTATGGGCGTAAGAATTATAGGCTAGGTACGGAAATTAGGCTTAAAAAATGGGTCGCTTGAACCCAAGCTTTATTCTTTTCCCGCGAACGAGACTAAAAATACGATCTCATTTATTAATTAATCCTACTATTAAAAGAATTATTAAAACAAACCTATTTTTTGGTATTTTCAAATATCATATTAACATAAAAATACGATACTATTTTTTGTATTTTTTAGGATTAAAAATGACTACAAAATATTAATGAACCTATTTTTTGTAATTTTCGTTTTCTTGTAATAAAATAAAGTAAAAGAGTAAAAATGAGTTGAAATAGCTATATTAGGCTTAAATTAAATATTTACGTGCTAAAATATAAAAAATCTTGGGGAGGGTCAAAAATCACATATCTACAGCTGCCCCTCTTTGACCGGAAACGCGAAGAGTTTTCGGACAAAGAACGACTAGACAGGTTTTTTGACCCGACCCTTATTTGGAGAGACTAAAACTAAGAGAGAGGGGAATGTGACCGAGCCTTGGTATTTGAGCTGCCTACATATCCTTGGCTATAAAGAAATCAGGCTACTTGTAGTTCAGAGGTGAGTGAGATGATGGAGTATGCCGAGGTGGAGAGCTAGTCGAGGTGCCATTCCGCCGAGGTTCCGGTCCGCGGGCCTATTATTACATCAAAATCAAAAGAAATGAAAAAGTCTAACTAAGCCTGTCAGCTACGAGTTACAATATTCCTATCTATAAGTCTTCTGAAGCTTGATCTTGAGCCTTGAATGGTTCTTCATGCATACTTTGGATTTGAACCTTGACGCTTGCTAGTTGCAGGTGCTAGCTCGTTCTTCTTCAGATTTTCGGATCAAGACTGGACATGTAGTGCTTGTTACCTCAACCATGTCTCGAGAAGCTCATATATGTCATCAACTTCTGCATTTGGATTAACTTCTTGCCTTTCTCTTTTTTTTTCTTTATTATGACTAACTTTTGTTGATCACCTCGGACTGCTGACTCGCATTCTTGCCGCGAGCTTCTTTTGTTGCTGACTTGAATTGTAATCTGAGATGCTTTCCCTTTTCTTCAGGTGGACGCCTGATTACTGAACTCGAATTATAATCTGAGATGCTTTCCTTTTCTCCAGGTGGATGCCTGATTACCAACACTTAAATTGTTTCCCTTCCTTAAAACTGGTGTTGCTCTCCCTTGCTCTCCAGGTGATCGCCTAATTGCCAAAATTTTATCTGTATTCCCCTGCTTTCCAGGTGGGTGCCTGATTGCCAAGACTTTGATTGTATTCCTGTGCTCTCCAGGTAGGCGCCTGATTGATGAACTTGAACTGTATCCCCATGCTCTCCAGGTGGGCGCCTGATTGTTGAACTTGAACTGTATTCCCGTGCTCTCCAAGTGGGCGCCTGATTGTTGAACTTGAATTGTATTCCCGTGCTCTCCAAGTGGGCACCTGATTTTTGAACTTGAAATGTATTCCCGTGCTCTCCAGGTGGGCGCTTGATTGCTGAACTTGAACTGTATTCCCGTGCTCTCCAGGTGGGCGCTTGATTGCTGAACTTGAACTGTATTCCCGTGCTCTCCAGGTAGACGCCTGATTGCTGAACTTGAACTGTATTCCCATGCTCTTCAGGTGGGCGCCTAATTGCTGAAGTTGAACTGTATTCCCGTGTTCTCCAGGTGGGCGCCTGATTGCCAAACTTGAACTATATTCCCGTGCTCTCCAGGTGGGCGCCTGATTGCCAAAACTTTAACTGTATTCCCGTGCTCTCTAGGTGGGCGCCTGATTGCCGAACTTGAACTGTTCATCTGAAACTACTGCCTTTGAACCTGATTACAACAAATTAAACAAAACAAAAGAAATTTTCCTGCCCCAGTTTGGTGCTGGGCGCATCTATGAGTGTTAATTGAATTATGTCACCGAAATATCTCTATGAATTTGAAAGCTAAATCCCATTATCCAAGAGGGTCCTGACAGCTCCTAGTTAAACGACAATTTTAAATTTAAATTATATCTCCTAAAGGTATTACTTTCGCTACATCTTGTTATCTAAGCCGATCTTAAAACTACACCCCATTATCCAGGAGGGTCCTGACAACTCTTAATTAAATGACAATTTTAAATCTAAGTTATATCTTCTGCTACATCTTGTTATCTAAGAAAGTATTAAAGCTACATCTCATTCTCCAGGAGGGTCTTGAAAATCAAAAGTCAAGTTTTATCTTAAGAGTGACTATTTTACGGCTAAATTATATTACCCTACACCAGAACTTTACGCTAAAATTTGTTATCCAATGGAAATTTTAAAGCTAGGTCTCATTATTCAGGAAGGTCCTGACAACTCTTAATTAAATCCTATCTTAAACATGCAAACTTTGAAACCAACTTATATTCCTTGGGGTACATTTATGCTAGATTTTGCTACTTATGATTGTTTCGATTTTAAACTAGGTCCCATTTTCCAGGATGGTCCTGAAAATTTACGGTCAAACCTATCTGGTACTTACTTTTCCCCTACGAAGGGTTTCTCCGAAACAAACGAAATTTTCTGGCCCTGTTTCAACCAAAGAATAATCTTATCAGTTTAAAATGTTGTGTTTGGTTTGTGGCCTTGAACTTTGAGGGCGATTGCTCCTTCACTTCCTGTGGTAGCTTCAGTTTCAACTCGAAAGACCTTGCCTGTTTATTGACTGACCGCTTTTCTCTATCACTTTTATCACGGAGGATACCTCTGATCTGTTCAAACCCAATACCATTCATCTGTTGCATTGTGCTTTTGCATTGATATGTACCGAACCTTTGTGTTTCTCATGAATCCCAAAGCATGTCAATTTCCATCCACCTAGTGCGTATGCTGTTCTTTCCTGACTTCAATCACTGGCCTTGGACTTGAGGTCTATTGCTCTATCACTTGCCATGATAACTTTGATTTCTGCTTGGAAGACCTTGCTTGTCACTGGTTAACCACTTTCTTTGTCAATGATATCACAGAAAATACCTTTGATCTGTTCACCCTAACCCTCCATCTGTTGCATTGTTCATGAATTGATATATACCAAACCTTTGTATTTCACATGAACCCAAAGCA